ACAGCTCGGCCAGTAAATGTTATACCCATGTTGTGAGGAAGATTGACAGCTTGGCCAGTAAATATTATACCCATGTTGTGAGGGACATTGACAGCTCGGCCAGTAAATGTTATACCCATGTTCTATGTCCTGTGCCAGGAAAGTATATATGATCATTTCATTTGTTGGAAAGGATACTCCAACAACTTAGGGGTTTCTGGTTTCTTCATTAAAATCTACATATTTATTCTCTTTTGTTTTAATGTTTTAACCACATTTTATAAATAAATCTTAATACTTGTATCATTATTTTTACATTTTTTCATTTACTACAGCTACTGGTTCTGAGCTATGTAATGATATTGAACCCTGTGAAAATGGTGGCACCTGTGTCAGCGAAGGAAGGGAGTTTGCTTGCATTTGCCCTCCAGGATGGGAAGGTTATACATGTTCAATAGGTAAGAGATGCACCTTACTTTGATTAATATGCTTATATCAGCTTCAAATTTAAATTACTTAACAAATTGTATTTTTTTAAAAACATTAATATAGCTATGGACAGATGCCTCAGTGACCCTTGTTTGAACGATGGTACTTGCGTTAATTCAGTTGGCCAAAACAAATACATCTGTTATTGTAAAGAAGAATACTCAGGTGACAACTGTGAAGTCAGTAAGTATACTGTATTATTTCAGTAACTCTACAATATTTATATGCAAAATGCTGGGATACACTATATCAGGACATTGTCTTTCTTCCAATAATGATGATATAATATAATATTACTATGTCGTGGGTATAGATGGTAGAGATACCTTGGTGTATCATGTACATGAGGTGTTTATAATTAGCCAAAGATGTTTTATGTTTCTTTACAACCCGATGAATATTTTATAATTCTGAGAATAATTTTTTTCCTTTTATCAGGATTGTTGTGTATAGTCTGAAACATATTGCCAACCAGTAGATCAGTCAGTCATCTAACTAACCAACCAACTATCAATCAATATACCATACATTTAGATATTGAATGCTATATGTCTAGTAAAATTATTAGGAAAAGTTTAAAATAATGCAAACCGAGATATTTCACACAAAAATATGCTAACACATTTTTTTTTTCAAGAACTCACAGAAGCTGTATGTTTCATCAACCAATGTGTGAATGGTGGTACCTGTATTGATAATATTGATCAGTTTTCATGTCTATGTCCTGACGGTTATACAGGAGCAATCTGTGAAGTCAGTAAGTTTATTTATTGTTATTATCATTTATTAAAGCAGAATATGTAACAGTCACTTGTGTGTGCATATACATATATATTACCTGGCTGATGGGAGACTGGTTGGTACTTGCAATTACACAGAATACAAAAATAAGGAGTCATTGGAGAGATATCATTGGTTTTTATATCCAGAAATATTTCAAAAAAATTATATATTTGAGTTGCATTTTAAGTTTATAAAAATTATTATTCTTTCTTTCTAGATATTAATGAGTGTGAAAGTTCACCATGTCTAAATGGTGGAACATGCCTGGAAAATGTGAATACTGCTGGCTATGTATGTCAATGTCCTGCAAATAACATGGGTTACAATTGCCAAGGATGTATGTATATACATTTTTTTGATCATGTTTGATATTGTAAA